CAGCGTCCCTGGGAGGCAGCAGGTGATGGCTCAAGTCTGTGGGTCCCTGCTGCCCACACGGGAGCTTCTGGACTGAGTTCTGGACTCCTGGCTCCAGCCTGGCTCCCACCTGGCTCAGGTCCAGCTACGTAGCCAGGGAATCAGTACATGGGTTTGAGTGCTCACTCTTTCTGCCTTTCAAACAAATAAAAATAAGATATTCATACATACATATTTTTTACAAAACTATCTATACATATAATGTTTGTAATTTGTGATTTTTTTTTCTACAAAGATCCAACTAACTGAAACATACTGCTGGCCCAGTCATGCTATTCTTGATAATATTTGAAGCCACTCCACAGAAGGCAGTTTGAATAAAAGACCTCTAAAGGGAATAAGTTCTGAAATCCTAGCTATGTGAACGGAGGGTAAAGATGAAAACAGGGGTTTGTAGAACCTTTCTTTCCCTCTTTTTTTTTTTTAATGATGTATTTGTTTATTTTTATTGGAAACAGATTTACAGAGAGAAAGATTTTGCATCCGCTGGTTGACTCCCCAAGTAGCCGAACAGTCAGAACTGAGCTGATGCCAAGGCAAGAGTCAGGAGCTTCTTCCAGGTCTCCCAAGCAACTGCAGGGTCCCAAGGCTTTGGGCCATCCTCTACTGTTTTCCCAGGCCACAAGCAGGGAGCCGGATGGGAAGTGGGGCAGCCAAGGCATGAACTGGCACCCTGGGATCCTGGCGCATGCAAGGCAAGGATTTAGTCACTAGGCTATTACACTGGGCCCAGCAAACTATATTTTTAAAATCAGTTTGATTACAGGAACGCCACTTCCAGGATGACAGTGTGAGTTCCTTTTGGGGACCAACCACCCAGCCCCCATAACTAACACATGGGATATTACAAAAAGGCAAGTGAAGAAGCTGATGCCTGGAATCAGAACATTATTATAGCTTTTGTTCTGAGGGATGGCTAGGACTCAAGGCAGTGAGGTGGAGGACAAACCAGAGCTCTGGTAGAGAAATTGGCAGTCGTGCAAGAACAGGACAGAGTTCACAGCAGCCACAGCCACCAGCGTAAGTGTACTTCTGGAAGGAATCCTGGAAGGGAGGGAGTTGGAGAGCATATTCTACAGTTTGCATACAACCTCTGCCCAGACTTCTGCCTGTCTGGATGGGCCTCACTTGAGCTAAGAGTAAAATAATTAAACTGAGATTAGAGCTTTCTCCAGGAGCCAGCATTTCTGGTTTGAGTCTAGTCAAAACAAATAAACAAGTCAAGCATTCCTAATGCCAGATGTACTTGGGAAGGGTGTCCATTAAAAACACGTGGATTCCTGGGTGAGCTTTTGGCATGCTGGCTAAGTCACCAAGTAGAACCCCTGCATGGCATGTCAGAGTGTTGGGTTTATGTCATGGCTGTACTCTCTTCCAGTTTCTTAGTAATAGATGCTCTGTCAGCAGGTGACGACTCAAGCAGGTGGGTCCCTGCCACCTGCACAGGAGACTCAGCTTAAGTTCTGGACTCCTGGCTTTGGCCTGGTCCAGGTCTGTGTGTTATGGACAACTGGGAAATTGTCTCTTTGCCTTTCAAATAAGTTTTTTTTTTTTTTAAAGATCCATCTGTTTTTATTGGAAAGTCAAATTTACAGAAAGAAAGACAGAAAGATCTTTAATCTGCTGGTTCACTCCCCAAGAGGCCACAACAACCAGAGCTGAGTCTATTCGAAGCCAGCAGCCAGGAGCTTCTTTCAGGGTCCCAAAACTTTGGGCCATCCTCTATTGCTTTCCCATCCACAAGCAGGGAACTGAATGGGAAGTGGAACAGCCAGAACATGAACTGGTGTCTGTATGGGATCCCAGTGTGTGCAAGATGAGGATTTAGCCAGGCCCAATATTTTTTTTTTTAAATGTTGCTTCATACACATTGTGGGGCCAGAATCCCTTGAGGCTATAGTCGGCATTTGCGAAGAGCAACCTTGGTGACACTCTTCAGCACACTACACTTTGAGCTTTGTGGCTCTGGGAGCTGGCATAGCCTACATATGATGCTCACATACTGGCTGGAATAGGTATGGTGTTCACCGCAGCTGCCAAGGAAGATATGTCAGTGGCCGTCATCTCGGTGCTTGCCATGTGACATTGAGAAGGCATCTTATGGCACCGAGATGCTCGAAAACTTTAGGTCACCACTGAGAACCTTCTGAGACAGGAGCACTTGTCCCTTGTCCTGCAGGTCAGTACCAGATTCAGGCCTTCTGTGTTGTCTTCAGCATCTGCTACTTCCTTTGTCATTTTGACTCTCCATTGCCACTCTCCCTAGTGTCCCTCCCACGGATGTAGACAGCATTTCCAAGTCTTGAAGATACAAATGTTGGGCCCGGCAGCGTGGCCTAGCAGCTAAAGTCCTCACCTTGAATGCCCTGGGATCCCATATGGGCGCCGGTTCTAATCCTGGCAGCTCCACTTCCCATCCAGCTCCCTGCTTGTGGCCTGGGAAAGCAATAGAAGATGGCCTAAAGCTTTGAGACCCTGCACCTGTGTGAGATACCAGGAAGAAGTTCCTGGATCCTGGCTTCAGATCGGCATAGCATCAGCCGTTGCACTCACTTGGGGAGTGAATCATCGGAGGGAAGATCTTCCTCTCTGTCTCTCCTCCTCTGTATGTCTGACTTTCCAATAAATAAATAAATCTTAAAAAAAAAAGATACAATTGTTAAGGATCTGTGAGGGCTCTCCTAAGTCAGCAGAAAGCCGGATGGTAAGCTGGTTGGCATAGGTTGGTGAGATATCAGTCATTCATGTCTGGCATGTTGGATTCAATGTTGAAATCATTCCCATTGCTCTACCTTCCAATTATTAAAACACCCATAGGTGGAAACTAGGGCACAGCTCATAGTGAACTCAGTGCAGCCGTAATGTTTAGAGTACACGCTCCCTCCTCTGGTCTCCATGACACCATGTTCTTCTCATTCTCCAAAGGAAGAACTAGACCAGAGTTTACCTTCTTATATTTGTCTCCATGGCAAGAGTCCAGGAACATACAATGTTGCAAATCAGATTAAGAACTTGGAGCCTTCACACCTGGCAAGCAAGGATTTGAGTCCCAGTTCCCATCCAGCTCCCTGCTTGTGACCTGGGAAAGCAGTAGAGGACAGGTCAAAGCCTTGGGACCCTGCACCCATTTGGGAGACCTGGAAGAGGCTCTGGGCTCCTGGCTTGGATTGGCTTGGTACTGACCCATTGTAGCCACTTGTGGAGTGAATCATTGGATGGAAGATTCCTCTCTGTCTCTCTTCCTCTCTGTATATCTGACTTTCCAATAAAAATAAATCTTTTTTTTTTTAAAGAAAGAATAGTAGTTTGAAACAGGATGCATCTGAAGGTGCACAAGATCATAAAGCTGTCAGTCACCCTTGGAAGTTGCTAAGGCATCAATTCAATATTGTGCAGAGTGATCCTAGGAAAAATGAAACATCTGTCTGGACTTGTTCACACATTTAGAATGACAGGATTAGGAAATCATGGTTTTGCCTCCTCTAATGGATTGGAACTGTTCAACACATGGAATGCTGGCCATGTTTACCTGGGTGACAAGCAGGGAGCTGGGTGGGAAGTGGGACTCAAATCAGCGCCCATATGATATCTCGGCACGCGAGGTAACGAATTTAGCCACTAGCCTACCACGCCAGGCCCATCAAACCACTATTCTTTCTGATGTTCAAGTTATTCTACGTATCACCAATGGGAGCCCTTTCAAGATGGTGTCCTCATCCTTTTCCTGTGACCTTAATTTCTCGCTTCAATTCCCTATCAATGAAGACTTGGATGGCGTCTGATCTCTGACTATCAAAAAGAATGCTTTGTGATGCATCCACATTCTTGCCAGAGTATCTTAACATATTCCTAGAACTTCCAGGTTGAAGGATGAACCCACATATTGTTTTGCTATTTACTAACACATTCCATTCACAGAGACAACCAACTACCTGTTTTCCCCACTGGATTGTATAACTTAAGATACCCCCTGACAGGTAAGAAATGTTGTCTCAGCCATTTTACTTGGAATTTCTCTTACTAAGCACATCTTTACTTACTGTTCAGGCACATTTCAAGGTTAAAAAATTCTTCATCTATCAGTGCTTTAATTAACCCTTGGTGATAAAGAAGTATTTTTTTTTTTTTGCCAGTTGCTTACTTAAATTTGACCCTTGCACATTTTTTTTTAAAGGGGAGCATCGAAGATTATTCTTTATAGCAAAAGACACATCCTCTTCTGTCTGTTGCTTCTGAGTTTCTAGTCTTCAGATGTTTTTTTCCGCTTTCAGATTCCACAGGAATTCACATGCTTTCTTTTAGTCATTTAATGGTTTCAATTTTCCAATTGGGTCTTTGATCCATTCAGATCTTATCCTGTTCTCAACAACATTTTTCAGGTCTTTTCCTGAAGTCCTTTATCACATCTAAACCTCCGGGTGTTCACTGTATTATTTATACAGTCAAGAACAATTCATACGTACAATGATGATCTCATAAACTTACGTGGCTGAATGACAGAGCAGCAAGACTGCGCAACAGCAAAACCACCTGATAATGCAATGCTCTGTGTCACTGCCAAGGAATGGAGAGTGACTCCAGTTTTCTTTCTGTACCTCACAGCCTTGCTCTTCCTCCCCTACTGTTCAATGCTAGGGTTCTTTTGCCTACTCTTTTTTTTTTCCCAATAATTTGGCATATGAAAAAAAACTTCAGTTTGATTAGACTTAAGTATAATCTTTTAAATCGTACTCTGAAACTAACCCTAGGCAGCTGTTTTGTTTTGTTTTGTTTTTAACTTCAACCTCAGAGACAAAAAGGAAGACAGAAATCAACAGGAAGTGTGTAAGCACAGACAGGCCATGTGGTGGCCACAACACCTACAGAGCAGCTTCTCTCAGAACACTCACCGGTCCAGGGCTCTGTCACATCATCAACAGGCCAACCCACACTAAAAATCAGGAAGACATAACAGCTGTACATTTGTGACCACCACAGCAAATTTTATTTGTTAAAATACATTGTGTGTAACTTAGCAACACCAAATACTGCAATCGAATTTTAAGAAAACATTTAGCACCCACTGTATTTGTAAGAATTCTGGGATTGTGATTTTCTGCTTGTTCAATGTTCAGAAAATTACAAATACCTCAAGGTAAAATGCGACTGTTCAAGAATTATGACATATTTCAAATACAGTAGATTCAGTCAGCAGAGAAATAAGTCTCATTGGATAGTTAGGTATACGTTTTTCCTGAATCACTTGGCACACCTGTGGTCATAAACCCCATTCACTAAGTGAAACAAGTCATTTACCTCCAAGGGACCAAGTTTCCCACGCAGAAACCTTGTACAATTGACAACTGGCATCTACCCCGCAAAGGATAATTAAGAAAGACTGAAGAGTGCTTCCAAAAAAATGACCTTAATTGTTTGTGCCACTTACAGCTCTGGATTTGGCCATCTAAGATGCTACTATCAGCTGTTTTTGTTCTTGAGACATCAGATGGCCCATCTTGATTCCCATGTTGCCTGCGTGCACTAACCTAGTTAATCTGACAAAGGAGACACGCGCTTCATTGGGAAGCTTTTGGCCAGGCTTCAGTATTATTTGCCTATGCCTTCGTTGGGGAGGTAATGCTGAAAACAGCACATTCAGTCTTTCTGGCAGTTAATCAACAGTGATGCAACCTTAAATTTCCTAATTAACCATTTTAAAAGTGCAATAACCCAAAGCATTAACCCATTATATGCTCTAGTTCACTGTTTATTTATATAACCTGCCTTTCTCCTAGACAAATAGGCAGCAGGACCCAAGGCAAACATGCCTTGTGGCAGACAATTCATCTCAATTTCCTTTTTTAGAGGGTTTTCCCCAGCAGCCAGTTACAAATGGAGCTTTTTCACAGCTTCAAAGATTTCCTCTCTTTAAAATCTCAAGCAAGTGCTATGCTTGATGGCAGTTACTAACAGTTCAATCCACACTATGTCATTTTTGCACTTTAACTTCAAGTATTTAAATGATTCAGTCAACATGATACTCCTAATTAAAAAATAAACCCAAGTTCTAGCTCATTTCATGTGCTATGGGACATAACAGCACCACCCATTTTAATATTTTAGTGGTAAAAACGTAATCCAGTTTTAGCAGCCTGTACAAGATTTGGATGTTAATGAGAACATGACATGCCTTGCTTGCCAGGAGTGAGACAATGTTGAGATTCCAGCTTACCTGAGGAGAGCTGACCCAGGTGCTAGGCCCTGGTTCATAGAAAGGAACAGTTTCAACGGGGAATAAAACAGGACAGGCTTTTAGTTAAGGCTTTTCAGTATATGAGTCATTTAAGAATTGATATGTTTCATTAGAAGTAGAAAATTCAGTGACATGTACACATTTCCAGGGGTTAGCTGCGACTGTGCAGCATTGAGCTACATTTAAAATGCTGAACGTGGCTTTGCAGCCTTAAATATAAAAAAGAGAAAAACCAAAAAAATTCATGTTAGTGATTAATTCCCATCCTGTGAGCCAAAAACTTATCTTTTTACTCCATTTCAAAAATGAAGTATTCCAAAGGAAAAAAATAGAAATGCTTACATAGAAACACATTGAATTTGGATGCACTATATCAGTTATTTGACTGAACAAACACACAGACAAGGAAAATAAAGTGCACCTACATAATATATAACATAATCGACCCTGAAATTATTTTTTTAAATTGGCAATTATAGACTGCAATATTAAAGGTAATCAGCTAGCAAAGTTAGATAAAAATGAAAAAAAAAAAACTTTTCATTGAAAAACTAACAATTTTTCAGTACATCAGAGGGACAATAACCCTTTATTTAAAGCTATTAAGTTTGGAGACTCTTGTGCATTTCAATTTTGTATAGGAGAAAGCTGTTCCTTTAGAAGGCACTAATTGGTGTGAGTGTGCAAGTGACTTCCTAAAGAAGACATGTGCCCGGGACAGTCGGGAAGACGCCTCGTTCTTACACTTGCTCTCCTCGACGTAGACGGGGATCGCTGCTGAGGAGTCCTGCCGGCCAGCAGCTCCGCCGGAGCCTCCCCGCGCTCAGTCCACGCTGTCACAGATCTCCTTGACTTTCTGATTGAACTCTTCAGGTTGATCTGCATACACGTAATGCCCGGCTCCAAGAATAGCCTGGGGAAAGAAGGGCATGCCCACAGGGGAAAGTGCTGAATAAGACACCAGGATACATAAGCAAAGGCAGTTCACAAGGAAAATGAAGAGTCACTTTACTTAAAGAACTCAAAGACGAACAAGCAATACTGATTTATAGCAGTTAACAAGCACTTCCATCCAAAGCATCTGAGCATAGAAAAATCTAGTGAATTTAACAAAAATTTTTAACATGTAAAACAAAACAAAAAGACTACCACCCCTTAAATTGATCACCAGCGAAAGGGCGAACAGAAACACTGAGTAAAGGCAGAGTGTGTAGCCTTGGGAAGGGGGAGTGAGTTGAGCTACGATGAGACCAGTCCCTCCTTCAAGCTCTCTATCACCTGGATGCTGTGGCTCATCCAGGGTCAGCTAAGGCCTCTCAGAAAGGTGACTTGCTCCTTGACAGAAAGATTTACGAAAGTCCAATGTTGACCCTCCACACATGACACCAGGATTCCGGCTGCGGCTGCAGGTTCAGCCCAGATAGGAAACCCAAGCGACGCAACAGACTTCACCTGTGACTGAGATCTAAACCCCAGGCCACACTTACGATGGTCTTCACGTAGGAGTGCGGTCGTAGGGACTGGATGCTGGTGCCAGAGTTGCCGTCGATGCAGGAGCGGGCGCCGAAGATGACTGTCACGGGAATGTCTGGGTGCATCTTCCCGATGCGCTGCAGCATGGGCCTTTTGGCCCACCCGTAAGGAATTGTCATGTTCTTGAAAGCTGTCTCCCCACTGTAAACGAAGGAGAAAGTCATACTGTAAGACCTTGTGGGGATGAGTCTGTATTGCATTTCATTTTTCCATCAAGAAAAACCTCTGCTTCAACACAAAATAAAACAGGAGCACTGAAACGATTGTATATTCTGGATGATAAAAAATTCGTTAACGCCTTCTAAATCAAAACATGTTATCCTAATTCTCTAACCCTTAAATGACTTACTATAGAGAGAGTAAAAACTTGTTCACTCTTATTTCAAACTGATGTGGATGGTGGCTTTCTCATCCATTCATGCCACTAACTTTACTTATAATGGCAAAATCATTACCAAGTTAAGAACCTCGGATAATATATTCTTGAAAACTCCCAGAATAGGTCTATTTGGCTATCACTTCTGCCTTTCTTGCAGGATTAGACAACACTCTGAATCATCTTTTATGAGTTTTATCACAACACAATAGGACAACAGGGGTGTGCAGTCATGAAATGAGCAACACTCAAGAGCCAAACACCAAGACGATGCAGGAGGACGGGTGATGTTTCTGGGACAGACGCCTATGACTTCCGGAACATGTCACAGAAGTGTGCAGACCTCAGCCACCAGCCAGAAGCCAAGTAAGTCACAAAATCCAGTCTCTTGACACCCTGAACCTCTAGTCCCTCCCCCTATTTCTTGGCAGAGAATCCCCAGCCTGGTTTATTTATAATGCTCAGACTACATCTAAGAATGCTTTTGTGGTCTCAAGTCTTTAAAGTAGCTGGATATGTCTTCTGCACAAAGGGAGTGAGACGCTTGGCATCCAGCCTCCAAACGTCAGTCTTAAAAAGGAGTAAGTGAAAGATGTCTATGGCTCACCTTGACTAAAACTGCCTGCCGACTGGTCAGAGCTGCTGAATCAGGGGATTAGAAACGGGCTCAAGAGTCACATTATGCACAACGTCCCTCAACAATTCTCATCACAACAGAGCTAAAGAAGTGCAGCTCTCACCTGCATACTCCATTTCTGAAACTAGGGCCTTGTCCTAATTCCCTGCTATCTTCAGACTGCTTGCTCCACTGGCACCCTGCACTCAACCTTCACAGCCATATTTTTAAAAACGATGTTTTGTCCTCTTGTTTCCTTTGGTTTCTCTCCCTCCTTCAAACACTGTCAGAGAGCCCAGTATGATGGCTCAATTTTGGCTACAATCCTCCCTTTGCAAGCACCAGGATCCCACATAGGCATCAGTTCACGTCCTAGCTGCTCCACTTCCCATCCAGCTCCCCCTGCTTGTGCTCTGGGAAGGCATTGGAGAATGGCCCAAAGCCTTGGGACCCTGCACCCATGTGGGAGATCTAGAGGGAGCTCCTGGCTTCGGATTGGCTCAGTTCTTGCCATTGTGGCCGTCTGGAGAGTGAACCAGCAGCTAAACGAAGATCTTTCTCTCTGCTTCTCTCTGTAAATCTGCCTTTCCAATTAAACAAATATTTTTAAAAATCACTGTCAGGACATATGTAGTGTCTCCACCCTGCACACTTCATTATTCCTCACCCACTGTAGTTAGGTTTCTCATTCTGACTTACAGACATTAAAAGTTGCTCAGCAGAAGATAGGTGTAATAAAAAATGAGCTTTAACACTGTGGCACAGCGTCTCTCCTACTCTTGGGAGAGTCAGTACTCCTCGGTACTCAGTAAAAGTTCAAAGATGTTCCAGGGCACAGAAAACCATTCACTTTTGCTTGAGCCAGTACCCCATTTTTATGAAACATTTACACTCAGCCTGAGAAACATTGGTTTATACGAGATCCTTCTTTACCTCTCACCATGCCCAAGACCCAATACTCCTCACCTTCCCAAAGCACTGTGGCAGCAAAGAAAGTATGTTTTTGTTTCAATCCCCACCAGTGTCCAGCACATAAATATTCATCTAAGCATAAACAGATAAATAAATTAAGGACTATTATGTGCTTGCCCTTTCAAATTTAGTTAACAACTGTGAAATGCCTTCTACACTGCTCACATGTTTTCAGGAAAGTCTAAAACTCAAGCACAGACACTGGGAACCAGAACCTGACCTTGGAGTCTGCACGTTGCAGTGGTAGATGTACTCCGTCACAGTGTCATCTTCAAACATTGATGAATATTTCCGTTTGAAATCCGGTCGTAAACGTTGCACCAGACTTAAACCTATTTAATAGGAAATATAAGATGCATGTTTTGAACTATAACTTACAGCCTAAACACTAGAGAAACTTCTGGTGCCTTCTGGCACTGTGAGTGCTACGGACATGCACATACCCATGAATGCAAACACGTATTTTAGGGAGAGACAAAGCACACCCTGAGGAAGTTGCTCTCGAGATTCCAAGGATTAAGATAACTAGGGCCTGGCGCGATGGCACAGTGGTTAAGGTCTTCACCTTGCATGCCCGGGATCCCATATGGGCGCCGGTTCTATCCCGGCAGCCCCGCTTCCCTTCCAGCTCCCTGCCTGTGGCCCGGAAGGGCAGTTGAGGACGGCCCAAAGCTTTGGGACCCTGCGCCCACGTGGGAGACCCGGAAGAGGTTCCCGGCTTTGGACCGGCATAGCATCGGCCTGTTGCGCTCACTTGGGGAGTGAGTTATCGGAGGGAAGATCTTCCTCTCTGTCTCTCCTCTCTGTATATCCGCGTTTCCAATAAAAATAAAATAGATTTTTTTTAAAAAAAAATTATAACTAAAGAACACAGTGTACTGGTTTACAGGAGCACTTCAGTTCATAAGGCAGCTTTCCAATCCTGGCTTCTCTTTGTTCTAGCAAGTCTTCACTTCTCTTCTGGCACTCCCTATCTCTGAAGGAATCATGCTGCTACACCAAGATTGTTATGGTGTGTTTGGTATCCTACATCCTCTCCACCACCAAACGCAAGCAAGTGAGTGTAGTGGACAGTATGCCTGGGTAGAAGATCTCTCAAGTCTCTCCTCCTCTCTGTATATCTGACTTTCCAATAAATAAATAACTCTTAAAAAAAAAAAAGACCAAATCAAGCTCATATGTAGCTCACCCAAAGAGGACTAAATGTGAGGAATGGCCCTATGAAGGGAGGTGAACATTCCTGGGGACAGGGAAGAAGGCTTGGTGGGGGGACTTGGGGTCACCAGCTCAGCCTCTGGAACTCTTCCTAATCCTGCAGTCCCACTGCTCTCCTCACCCAGAGGGAAGGAGGGAAGGTGGCAAGGAGGGCTGAGCAGAGGCCACAGTCAATATGCTGGCAGCGATTCCCTCACCTTCATTCAACCCTTAGGAGCAGTGAACACCCTGAGGAAAAAGGCCAAGAGAATCCCAAACCCAGATCCAAATCCTAAGCCCAAGAGACAGCTCTGGAACAAGTGCTGGTGCCATCTCTTTGCTAAGGAAATCCTAATAGACCTCATAGTTTATGTTCTTGTGTACTTTGGCTGAAAGCACTGTTGACTGACCCAAGTTGAAAGGGCGAAAGGCAGAGGCATAGCACACCATCACAGTAGTTTTTAATGTATTTACACAAATGGAAAATTCCCATGTATTTCATATATACAGTTTTAAGAACAGGATGATATTTCCTACACTACCCCCTTCTCGTTCCCTCTCACCCTCCCTTTTTCTGTTTTAATTTTTGCAATGTCAAATCTTCAACTTAGTTTATAATCACAAGCTTAACCCTTCATTAAATAAAGAATTAAACAAGTAGCAAGCAGAAAACCACTGTTCCTCATGAGTATAGACAAGGGCTATGAACAGTGACCAAATCTAAACATGTTAGCTCATGCATATGCATTAGCTTTTTTGTACTCTGTATATTTGTTAGCAAAAATCAGGAAAAAACAAACAGTATCTTTTGGAGACTGTGTTACTAAGCATAATTGTCTCCAACTGCTTCCATTCTGTTGTGAAAAATAGGTTTCCTTGTTTCTGATGGCTGAGTAGAATTCTATCATGTATGTATAGAGCACAATTTCTTTATCCAGTCATCACTTGATAAGACAACTTGGTTGATCTTAGCTGTTGGACTATCATCATTTGTGACAATGAAGGAAATATAGTTCCATGGCTGTATGTGGGCTCGAGAGGAATACTCTTAAACCAGAGACTAAAGATTGGCACCTCATAATAGGATGAGAAGAGTCCCCAAACTGTGTGTACAAAAGAATGACTTTAGTCTTCCAGCACTCTGACATGATAGAGCAAGGAAGGCACACACGTGTGTGGTGGCACCTGCTAGCACACACCCCATCTCATTAGGCTTTGTGACCTACCAGTGTCACGTTGCAGCTCACTATGCTTCCCTCAACCCATCACCCTGTGCTAGCCTCCCTGCTGGCTTGGCTTTTCCCAGAAGACTAACCATCTTCAGCGTTCCCCTCCTTCTTTGCTTGGCTGACAATGACAACACTGACACTACAAAGGCTCCTTTGCGAGGGGAAAAGCCTGGCTTCACTCCCCTTTGTGTGTGGCCTGGGCCAAAAGGGCAGAACAAGCACGGGGGCAGGTTTTTGTTTGTTGTTTTATTTTTGACTGAGAGTGGTGATTGGTGACTATTACTCTTCTACTGCTAATCTACAGACACCCTGCCGTCTTGGACTCACCGAAGGGCCCTGCAATCCTGAGGCCAGCTAAAGGGTTAAACGGAGTCAGTGCTGCTCCCAGGGCTCTGATCCACACCGGAATGGGTCGGTCTTGATCAGCAAGGTCTGGTCGCTCAGGAAAACCCCAAGGCTCCACTAAAATTAGATGACTCACCCTGTTAGAGAGAGATTTTAAGTTCATTAGGTAAATTCTTGAGACCATAAAAAACATGATCCGGGCCTGGCGCGATGGCACAAGTGGTTAAGGTCCTCGCCTTGCACGCCTGGGATCCCATATGGGCGCCGGTTCTAATCCCGGTGGCCCCACTTCCCATCCAGCTCCCTGCCTGTGGCCTGGGAAAGCAGTTAAGGACGGCCCAAAGCTTTGGGACCCTGCACCCGCGCAGGAGACCCAGAAGAGGCTCCTGGCTTTGGACCGGCATAGCATCGGCTGTTGCGCTCATGGGGGATGTGAATCATATGGGGAGTGAATCAACGGAGGGAAGATCTTCCTCTCTGTCTATCCTCTCTGTATATCCGCCTTTCCAATAAAAATAAAATAAATCTTTAAAAAAAAAACATGATCCATAAAGTAAAGGCGGAATGAATCCTCTTCAAAAATCATCACATGAGAGGCTCTGAGATGGCTGAATAGGGCAGAGTCACACTAAGTTGCTCCGGGATATGAAAAGAACAAGGTAAGGACTACGTGTCCAGGGGTCTGATTGATGGGAAATGTGGGTAAAGAACAGAGATAAAGAAACAATGAAGACTGTGGGACAGGAGGAGAGAAGAGTCAGCACTGCCAGCAGTCAAATGGCGCAGTCAGCTGCCTTCCGTGAGCCGCCATCCTTACTACATGTAAGGTTTCATGTGAGATGGGACCCTACAGTCACCCACTGACTTGGGGGAGCTGACTGGGGTCAAAGCAACTGCTGGGCTAGAATGGGTATGCCTGGCTTCGAAGATCTTCACTCAAGTACCCTCTCTCCCCCATCACCGTATCCTAATTTCTTTTGAAACCTTACTCTTCCCACCATTGCTAGTTATGTTCTTCTGACCCACTCCTATCTCAGGACAAGGCCAAATGAAGCATGGAACAGGTCAGCTGCATTGCTTTCCTCCCTTCCTTGACCTGTGTGAATGCCATACTCAGCAGCAAGCAAAAAAAAAAAAAAATGACACACAAACATTCCGACTACACCTCTGTTCTGTTCCTACTAGCGCCATAGCATAATAGTCAGGGACAGGGCAAAAGAGAGATGCCCTGTACCTTTCAACTCTGGGAGTTTGGGGCAACAGCCCCAGAGCTATTGCTCATTCACTCTATATGAGCCTTAGCTTCTTGGGGCTACCCTCAGAAGCAGCCCATAGAAAAAATCTGCACCCGCCCTCAGAGATCTGGGTAATGAACTCCAGCATATCCCACAGGTCTTAGTTCTTATCTATCAAAACTAACCTTAAATGTAAATGGATTAAATTCACTAACTAAAAGATTTAACTTGGCTAAATGGATACAAAACCATGATCCCTAGGGTCTGGCGCTACAGCTCACAGGCTAATTCTCCATCTGCAAGCATGTCATTCCATATGGGCAATAGTTCATATCCCAGCAGCTCCATTACCAATCCAGCTCTCTGATTATGGCCTAGGAAAGCAGTGGAGGATGATCCAAGCCACTGGGACCTTGCACCCACGTGGGAGATCTGGTTCGTGGCTTTGGATCAGCTCAGCTTCAGCTATTGTGGCCATGTGGGGAGTAAACCAGCAGACGGAAGCTCTTTGTCTCTCCTTGTCTATATAAATCTCAAAAAAGACTCCAATATAATTTCTGCATACAAGAAACTCACTTCACAAAGATACAGAGACAAATTGAAGGGTTGGAAAAAGATTTACCAAGCAAACGAATCCAAAACTGAGCAGACGTAGTTATCTGATGTTAGATAAAACAGACTTTAAAATAAAACTTTAAAAAGAGATAAGAGGACATCATATTTCAATAAAAGGTTCAATTCAGCAAGAACACATAATAATCATAAATATATATGCACCCAACATAAGACCACCCAAACTTATACAGCAAGTATCATTAGATCTAAAAGGATAGACTCCAGTACAGTAACAGTGGGTGGCTTCAATACCCCACTGTAATCAATGGACAGATAGTTCAGATAGAAAATCAATGAAGGTACATCACAGTTGAAACATACTATCAAGCAAATGGACCTAACAGTTGTAGTTACAGGACATTTTATCACAGCTACAAAATACACATTCTTCTCAACAGCACATGGAACATTTTCTAGGACAGACCACATATTGGGCCACAAATTAAGTCTCGGCAAATTTAAAAAGATTAGAATCATACCATGTATCTTCTCAGATCACAAGGAAATAAAACTAGAAACCAACAGGAAGAACAATAGAATGTTCACAAATACTTGGAAATTAAACAGCATGCTACTGACTGATCAATGGGTCCTTAAAGAAGTTAAAAAGGAAACCAAAAACTTTCTTGAAAGAAGTGAAAATGAAAGCAACATATCAAGACCTATAGGATACAGCAAAAGCAGCACTAAAAGGGAAATTTATAGCATTAAGTGCCTACTTCAAAAAAAAAAAAAAGAGAAATGTCTTGAAGATCTAATGAGACATCTTAAATGTTTAGAAAAAAAAAGAATAAGACAAACCAAAAATCAGCAGGGGACCAGAAATCATAAGAATCAGAGCAGAAATAAATCACATTAAAACAAAAAAACCAAGATTAACGAAACAAAAAGTTTTTGAAAAGATAAACAAAATAGATAAACCTCTAGGCAGACTGACAGAGGAAAAAGAGAAAAAGCACAAGTCAAATTGGAGATGAAAAAGGAAACACTACACTTGGCATCACTGAAGCACAAAGGGTCATAAGGAACCGCTATGAAGAACTACACACTAACAAGAATCAACATCATTGACGTATCATGCTACCTAAAGCAATCTACAGCTTCGATGCAATCAAAATACTTATGACATTCTTTTTCTTTTTTAAGATTTATTTATTTATTGGAAAGTCAGATATACAGAGAGGAGGAGAGACAGAGAGGAAGATCTTCCCTCCGATGGTTCACTCCCCAAGTGAGTGCAACGGCTGATGCTATGCTGATCTGAAGCCAGGATCGAGGAACTTCGTCCTGGTATCCCACACGGGTGCAGGGTCCCAAGGCTTTGGGCCGTCCTCGACTGCTTTCCCAGGCCACAAGCAGGGAGCTGGATGGGAAGTGGAGCTGCCGGGATTAGAACCGGCACCCATATGGGATCCCGGCACATTCAGGGCAAGGACTTTAGCAGCTAGGCCACACCACCAGGCCCACTTATGACATTCTTTACAGAATTAGGTAAACTAATCCTAAAATTCACATGGAATTACAAAAGACCCAGAATAGCCAAAGCAACTTTAACAAGAAAAAATCAAGCTGGGGGCATGACTTTAACTGACGTCAAACAAAGCAATCATAATTAAAACAGTATCATAGTAACATAAAAAGCAGTACACAGATCAATGGAATGGAATAAAGAGCTCAGAAATTAATCCACATATATACATTCAACTGATTTTTTTTTTTTTTACAAAAGTGCGCAGACCATACAGTAGAGTAAGGACGATCTCTTCAACAAATGATACTGACAAAATTGGGTGTACGTGTGAAGAGCAATGAAATCAGATCCGTGATTTCTAACCATATGTAAAAATAAACTCAAGATGGGCCAAAGACCTAAAGTAAGACCTGAGACTATGAAGCTGCTAGAGAAAATACACAAGAGACACTCTAAGATATTGATATAGGGGATGACTTCTTGAATGAGATCCCTCAACACAGGCAAGAACTGCAAACGTAGGGCTTTCACACAGGAAAGAAACAATCAACAGAATGAAGAGACATCCAACAGAACGAGAAAAACATTTGTGAATCTCCTGCTGCACAAAGGATTAATATCTCAAATATTTTAGCAACTTAAACTCAACAACAGAAAAACAATCTAGTTGAGAAATGGGCAAAAGATTTCAACAGACAGTTCTAGGAAGAAATATAGGACAACAAATATATGAAAAAAAAGATTCAGCATCATTAGCTGTCAGGGAAATGCAAATCAACAGCACATTGAGATATCACCTCACCCGTGTCAAAATTACAAAACCTGAACTCCAGAGAACAACAACGCTCCTTCCAGTGGTGCAAGCATGCGGAGAAAAGGAACTCTTCAACACTGCTACTAGGAATGTAAATTAATGCAACCACTGCGGATATTTAAAAAAAACAAACAACAATAAATAGACTTGCAATGTGATTGGGCGATCCCACTACCCAAGAGATTTTAACACAATGAATCAAAGAGAGCTGGATGGGAAGCGAGGCTGCCGGGATTAGAACCAGTGCCCATATAGGATCCTGGCGCATTCAAGGTGAGGACCTTAACCACTATGCTATCACACCGGGCCCGAGCAGATTATGTCTTAAGGACAAAGCAGTGAGCTTGAACCAATCCACTGGGACCAGATTCAGATTTAGAGATTTAGAGTCATCAACCATAAATAAGAAGGAGCTATATACACGGAATAAGGAAAGGAACAAGAAAAAATATCAGGAAGAATTCAAGAGCCAGACCCCAAAGCAGGCATTGCCAAGGTAGCCCCAGGTAATTCCTGTTGGCTCCAAGCCCCTGCAGGGAGGACAGAAGACACAAGGAACAACGAACTGAATGAACTGAATTTCTCCACCATCAGGTCATACAGAACAGCTTTTCTTCTCAACAGGAGCCAATACAGATCGCTCAGCCCAGATCTGTGCAATCTGGAGGCAGGGCCAAGCAAGGCCAAGGGGAAACAGTCAAGGTAAAAACATCCGAAAACCTATCACTGGGGAAGGACAGAGTGGCTGTAACCTATTTTGGTATAACATGGACCAGGTATCTTGACTAAACTTTTTCTAAAAATTGTTTAAGCTGTTGTATACATCATTCATTATTAGCTAGTATTAGTGCAGAAAGATGAGACAAAAAGGCCATAACCACTGCACAATTTCACAAGGTACACTGCAAGAGGAAGATGGCTGAGATGGATCCCAGGGTCTTGGAGGGGCACATTCCTGCGAGAGCTGGGCCTCTTAATTCTTGTTGGGGCGGATCTCATTCC